GTTTTCGAGGTGTGGGGAACGGTTGTGAAGATGTGATGTGAGCGTCGGAGATGTAGAAACGGTTCAGAGAGACGTCGGTGAGACGTGATAAATCGGGCAGAGTCGATGTCAGCGAAAAATATGAACGTGTTGCGTAGGAGCGTGTTTCGAGATGGATGTGACGTGTTTTTCATAAGCAGGGACGTGGAGAAGGAACGGTGTAAGGTCGAAGTCGTGTTTTTGGGGTATTTTCGTGTCAATTTTGATGGAGGCGTGAAACAAATGATGGAGCGAGGGTTGGATGTGGGTTTGAGCGTGACGGGATGAGAAATACGGCAAAGATGTTTGAGAGCGTTGTGGATAAGGTTGAGTGGGTGTGACGAGGGAGCGCGAAGGATGTGTATTACGTGTTAGTGGAATAGGGTGTGTTTGTGATGTTTTCGAGGTGTGGGGAAGGTTGTGAAGATGTGATGTGAGCGTCGGAGATGTAGAAACGGTCAGAGAGACGTCGGTGAGACGTGATAAATCGGGCAGAGTCGATGTCAGCGAAAATATGAACGTGTTGCGTAGGAGCGTGTTTCGAGATGGATGTGACGTGTTTTTCATAAGCAGGGACGTGGAGAAGGAACGGTGTAAGGTCGAAGTCGTGTTTTTGGGGTATTTTCGTGTCAATTTTGATGGAGGCGTGAAACAAATGATGGAGCGAGGGTTGGATGTGGGTTTGAGCGTGACGGGATGAGAAATACGGCAAAGATGTTTGAGAGCGTTGTGGATAAGGTTGAGTGGGTGTGACGAGGGAGCGCGAAGGATGTGTATTACGTGTTAGTGGAATAGGGTGTGTTTGTGATGTTTTCGAGGTGTGGGGAAGGTTGTGAAGATGTGATGTGAGCGTCGGAGATGTAGAAACGGTCAGAGAGACGTCGGTGAGACGTGATAAATCGGGCAGAGTCGATGTCAGCGAAAATATGAACGTGTTGCGTAGGAGCGTGTTTCGAGATGGATGTGACGTGTTTTTCATAAGCAGGGACGTGGAGAAGGAACGGTGTAAGGTCGAAGTCGTGTTTTTGGGGTATTTTCGTGTCAATTTTGATGGAGGCGTGAAACAAATGATGGAGCGAGGGTTGGATGTGGGTTTGAGCGTGACGGGATGAGAAATACGGCAAAGATGTTTGAGAGCGTTGTGGATAAGGTTGAGTGGGTGTGACGAGGGAGCGCGAAGGATGTGTATTACGTGTTAGTGGAATAGGGTGTGTTTGTGATGTTTTCGAGGTGTGGGGAAGGTTGTGAAGATGTGATGTGAGCGTCGGAGATGTAGAAACGGTCAGAGAGACGTCGGTGAGACGTGATAAATCGGGCAGAGTCGATGTCAGCGAAAATAT